AAATTTCGGTTAAAGTCAATCTTAATTTTAATAAAAGGGTTTGAGTAATTACCATGATAGATGCCTTGATAGATCACACCAGCAAAAGTGTCACCCTTAAAAAAAGTAATAAGTCAGGTCTATCCATCGTATGAATTTTACGATGAATATACGACTATTAGTTACTACAGTTGACTAACCTGTAGGTATCTAGCATAACGAATTTGGTTGCTATCATTTTACAAGTCAAACTTAGTGACTCATGTAACTACAGATAGTTACTGGGTTATACGGGTTACTACAGAGCAATTGATAGGTCGCCAGTATAATTATGGGTTATATATAGTAATCTCAGACTACATAGTAATCGTATTCGCTGACATTAAAGGCAGTAGAGGAATTCGATCTATTATTAAAGAAACTATATTTCTTAATGTGGAATGTGTGTCGCAATTGCTTGGCATATGAAAAAAGAAATAAAAAAGTGTTTCCAATACCTACATATAATCCGATTCCAAAACCGCCTAAGGAGTTTTGGAATTTCATATACTTACTATGTTTTTGTTCTTTAGGTTGCATAAGGCCCAGTCAATATAGAGTCTCGTCTCGCACTGAATTCATAAATTCTCGTAGGTTATAAAAATATATTTTTTTTTATGTATAGTAATGGAATGGTACACTCTCCTGCGCTAACGGTTTACGCTGGCGGGGCACCAGTGGAGGATGACAAGATGAGCATGAGGTCAGCTAAGTTAGTCCATCGTGATAAATTCCTTACGAATTTGTCACGATGGTTTCGAGGGGGAACCGCGTGGAGGTCAACCTGACATGGTACATTGCTAGCAATAAGATTTAAATCCATATTATTAACAAACCCCTTTCCCCCTGATAGGGTACTTATATTATAATGGAATGGTGCACCCGCCACCGCTAACGGCATACGGCGATGCACCAGTGGATAATGATAATATGAACACGAGGTCAGATCATTTATAGCTCATCAGGAATTTATAATGATGGATTCCAGGGGAAATCGTGTTTAGGTCAACTTAATTGGTACATTGCTAACAATTGGGCCACTAGTTCTTATTACTAATAATTCCCTCCCTCCATTTTCATATATTAAATTACAGATTTGAGATAACAGTCTAGAAAATATAACATGATTATTATTATATTTTTGATAAAATTGCTTTTATATTAACGCTAAATATAACATACATGAGTATACAATATTATCTGTGTGGTAATAAGTTCCGTATAGACTTATCATTTGTGAAGTTTACACATTCGGGTTGTCCCTTGAGCATTAATATCTTGCATGCTAGACTTGTTTTAATTTAAATGTAATATAAACATATGTAAAGGATTGGTGAGCTGCTAATGGTTCGCTTTATAATATAAGACGCGTAGGTTAAAAAAAAATCATTATGTCATTAATATCTACTGTTGCAAAATACCAAAGTAAAATTTGCTATAGAATGATTATGCAACGATTTTGTAGTAGACATTCACGCAAATTATTTTGCTTACTAATCCCGTGGATCTGGATAAAATCAGAGACGTCTTTAATTTATAACAAATGTTTTAAGAAATACCCAACATTAATTTCGGTTTGAAATGCACTAAATTAATAATAATAACTCCTATTAATTTCCTCAAGAGTAGGAGATACATCACCTGTAATAACGGGATTTTCGATGTACAAAACACCAATGGAAAATAAAAAAAAGTACCTAAAGAACTGGACCAATCTGGTCAAACAAGTTCGTGACTCCGTCGCTTCTTTGTCTTTTTTCTGAGGTTAAAAAGTGGAAGGCGCTGGTTGAAATAAATAGAAGTAAAGTATAATCACATAACAACAAAATGGTTGTACTTGCTTATAAAGAATGCAAAGAAGTCATAAAGATATGTTGTTATCACTATAGATATACAAAATGATACATTATATCAGTTGGACAATGACCAAAAAAGACAAATATATTAGAGATATTTAGAAATAGGCTTAAATTTAGTAAATATACTTACTTTATAATCAGTTCAGTTATGTCTTATTGATAGGAATGATTTGAAACATTAAAGATTGCACGTAGTGATCCTAGTAAAATAAAATAGCAATACGGTCAACATAAAAACATAGCTCTGATAAATTATTAGGAGATAACTGTAATTCAACGGGTTCAATAAAATTCTGCATTTAAGATGCATTGATATTTTTTTGTAATACACATTGGTAAATACAATTTTTAATAAGTTACCATAATTATTACAATATTTAAATAGTTATTTAGCTGCTATAATGGCCATTAAGTCTGTATAGTATTCTTCTTCTTTAGGAAACGAGAAGTAAAATTTATAAGACGAGTCGTAGTTATTTAGATGTGTATATTATTGAAATATTTACATGTAATAAATATAAGAAATGTAAACGAGAAATATTTTTACAATAGCAGGCAGTAAAGGGATTCGGCCTGCAATGACAGGCTTGTTGATTCAGTTAAACAAATTGTGATACTTATCTTCAATGTCTCGAAAGTAAAATTTATGCTGTTATTTTGTTTATATAATGTAATCTCATGTCTGTAGTAGAATAGTAAGCATGCAATTTTTTAATTTGAAACGGTCGTTTGGATACGGTGAATTAAAAAAATGAAAATGTTCACAATCTGTGTTACATGTACGAGTTGATAGTACATATATACAGAGAGTATCGATATGAGTGTTAAACGAGTTTCGGTAGTAATTATAAACAAAGTGTTGGAAAGGTAAACGAATATGTCTGCCCATACTTTTTCCACTTGTACGCTACTCTTATGTATCGGGATCTTAATAATACGAATAAAACGTTATATAATTTTTATTATTAGGATTAGGATTTAAATAGGAATAGGATAATACCATCCTTCTTTCTGGATTACCTTGAGTGTATTGCATACTTGCATACAATCTGCCGTTTCCTTGAAGCAAATTGCAACGCTTGATAGGAATGTAGAACCTCAACCTCTGTTGCGTCCGGGATACTGCTCATGTTCATAGTACAATACTGTATAATGATATTTAAATATGTAGTCTTTATGTGTTATTTTGAACAGATAGATGATTTTACATTCATACTTTACTAAACTAGTTTATAATTATTTAACTAATATAGTATTATTAATTAATTTAATTGTATATGTATTTAATTGAAGGCCTCGGTGATCTAACGGTTTAGCACACAAACGGTTTAGTATTTACAAAAAAATATCTAAGTATTCATATCAGTTGTTTAGTGCCAATAGCACAAGCTCTGCTTACCGTGAGACTCGATGGCACTGTATTATACACACATATCTAGTTTATTAATAATTAACTTTCATGTAAAATAAATATCAAAATTATAACTATTTATTTATTTAGTAATAAAACCCAGTAATAAAATTGTTTACTTATTAACGCAGAAGATTGTACCAGGAAAAAAAGGACGTAGTACATTGTAACAAGGTTCATGGTGTTATTTCATCGCATTATCTTCGGCGACAGGAAGGAAAGTTATCTAACTCACTTAGACACTACTTACATCTATCTAGACAATTTCATGGCATTGTTTTTAATTACGTTGATAATCGGTCTTCAAGTTTTAATCTGCGTCACAGTACAAATTTATTTGGATTCCGTAAAAAATGTACACAATGCCGTTGTTTTTGTGTGTAACATGTCACGATGGGTTAACTGACATGACCTTCCTCATTTTATCATTCTTTACAGTATTTTCGCCCAAGTATCGCAAGAGCTAGCAGGTGTACCTTTCCATATTTGTCAATTTAAAAACTAACGCCTATAACTGATTCATCTGATTTACTCTACTCTGGACTCCAATCTTCTGAGATATTAATGATAATGAATAATGAATATATGTATTCCATGCAGTTTTACACTTTTAATTTGAAACTTAATCAATAAATCGATATCAAACTCCGTCAGTACTTTCAGTGACAATAAAATCTAGAATTTGTATGTTGCCTAATGTTAATATCTAATATTATTTGAACAGATTTAGTTTAGTTTAGTCCGGGAGAATAGTTTTATAATTTATTTTACATTTAGGTTTTGAGTTGTTAAAAATTAAAACCAATCGTCACAATTTACATCAGTAGTCAATAAATCGATGTTAATGACTGTTAGTTCTTTCAATAACCACAGAAATTTGGATTTATACATTGCTAGTGTTAATATTTAAAGAGTTTAAAAAATATCGAAAAAATGCAATAACCGTGTAATAAATGTATAGTTTTATGATTTTTGTTTTATCAAATCGTAATCATTTATAATTTGATTCAGCTGTCTAAAGTATTAATTTTTATACGGAATCCTAAGGACATCAAGTGATAGCAGTGCAGATTATACTAATTAATTACATGTAAACATACAATTTATTACTGATGTACGAAACATACATGTAAATGCAACCCTTTTTTGTTTTTTCTTATCCTGCAAATTAGAATTAAGTCACATTCAAAATAACATATTGAAATTCGAATTACATATAACTGTGTAATGTTATGATATCTTTGATGTAACGTACCTATAATATAAGGTACCTATTTACAATATGTTGTCACAACTGTTATCTATGAAATAGGTTAAGAATAAACATTCGTCGAATTACATACAAAGTAAGCAGTTATATAATTATAATATTATTTAGGTATATAATAATATAATTATATAATATATGGGCACTATTGTCATGTATGAATTCGGTTAAGTAAAAACACATGACTAGATCAAGATTTAGGCACAAATGGATAGACATTATTATTAGGTATCTAAAAAGTAAAAAAAATAAAGAATAATTATTCAGTCTGTACTGATAACTGTAGTTATAAAAATGTAGCACGTATAGTTGATAAAGCCTGATGTGCGATTATAAATTGATGTTAGTAACGGAACCCGTCTAATATGAACAGACAATGTTATACCTTTTTTTTACTATTACAACCTGTGTAAATACTTACAATGTTAGTCTTTTGAAACTCGTCTGTCCGTACAGACATGGACAGAGTTAATTTCAAAGTAAACGGAGTTAATTGTTCGGGTGAGACTATATTACTAATTTTAATAATAATAATAAATTTATATACGTATTAATTTAATAAATAATAACTACATATCATAGAATAAGACTTAAGACTGCTAATATAAAAATAAATTAATATGAATTTCTGGCGAATCGTATTCGAATATAAACGAAGTCGAAATTAAGATAAAAGTTAGAGGATGAATTTAGGTCACTTGACTTGATGACTTATATGACCTGAATTCATTTTCATCCTTTCAGCCTTTGTATTAATTGTACAGTTATTATAAAATAAATAAACAACAATTACAAATAGTGGACTAATATTCTTTGGTTTGATGCTAAATATTAATAATATTAAATATCCAATATTGGTGTTAGACAACTATTTTTTTTATTACTATATAATTAATTAAGTATTTTGACGCACTGCCCTAGCTTCTGATTATGGTAGTTCTAGTTCGCATGATACAAATATTAATGATTACAAATATATGGTATATTTGTTTATATTAATTTACATGCCACATAGTATTATATTGGTCCAAGTTTTTGACGAGTATTATGTTATCTTTGAAATAAAAAAAATTACACATTTTTAATTCAAACAGTTCAGATTTTCTACAATCCTCCAAGGTTGGAGGATTGTAGAAATTCCTTTAGGAATTTTCATTGCCTCGACTTTATTCTTCAGCGTCTTCCAGAGTGTAGACACCGGCTATCTTTTCCAGATCACGTTTATTATATCCATCTGATTAAAAACATTATAAGCGTTTTACATATTTTCTAAGAAAAATATAGAAATATATTTGAAATCATTTAAAACATTAATATTTTTATAAAAGTAACTAAACTAAAAATATTATTTTTTAATTTATTATATTACTAGCCAACCGTTCTACTTCGCAAGGATGTATTACGAAACTTTGAATTTTGATGCTTTATATTAACACGCATGTATTATATTAACACGCATGTGTTTATATTAACACGCATGTATTATACATATAAACCTTTGTCTTGAATCATTCTCTTTATTACTGAAAACTGCATTAAAATCCGTTGCATAATTTAAAAGATATAAGCGAGCAGACAGCAGCGGTGACTTTACTTTATAATGTATAATGTATACTTTATAATGTATATATGTATGTAAACATTACATCATTCGTTTACAATTTACGTACAATTGTAACCATATGTACTGAATGCACTCGTAAATAGTAGGTACTACATAGGTAAGCAACTAGTATATTTATTAAATGAAGGACGATAAATATTTAACTTCAAAATTATAAAAATGAATGATTTTAAAGATGTTTTGTTATGTAGACGTTTGTTTATTTATTTATTAACTCTTACAGCACCAGAAAAAAATTACAAAGAACATAAATTAGAGTAATAAGGTACAAAGGAAGTTCATATTGCATACGCAATTTCTTTCAGACAGCTTTCAGTTAGTTACTAAATCGTAAACGTATGAACAAATTTTAAAGAAAAGTATGAGGCATGTCTATGAGAAATTTTTACTACTATTATTAATGTTATCTGTGATAATATTATTCCAATTGCTAACAATAGACTAATAGTATATTTATTTATTTTTTATTTATAAATAAATGTACTTTTTCAGTTCAACCTCTATTTTCTAAGTTCCTCTGATAATCGTCGTGGACTTAAATAAGTCAAGACATTTAGCTTATAATTGTTCTGATTGAGAGATCTATCATATATGCCCATATAGACTATGTGACCTAACTATCGTTATGGGCTAAGGGATCTGTTTGCCATAATTTTCTTATTCTTTCATTGTTTACTAGTGTTTTAGCTATAAGCATTTGTTTAGCATTAACTATGAGCACAAGCGAAATTATTATTTAATGGAACTATATAAATGTTCATATTAATGTTGTATATTTCTGGGACCACCGGGTCCCAAAAATATACACCACCGGGTTTAGCGGTTTAGCACACTGCCTTACTTCCGATAGTCGCGGTTTCCATTCCTAGCACAGTAAAAATATTTGTATTTATGTGTGTGATTGTTTGGATTGACTGTGTGAAAGATGATATGGTAAGAAAGGAAGTAAATAACGCGATGACTGAGAACAGGGATGAATGGTAGAGAAAATCATTTTACGTCGACCACAAATAAATGGGATAAGGATGTGCAGATGATGATGTTTGGATTGTTCTAGCATTTTTCTATGTATCTTATGTTTTATTTATAAAATATCTTGGGATTAGATGACACTGGGTAAATTTGTCCTGTGATGTTACATATTTTATTTGTAGAATAAAATAGATTTATGAATATGTCACGTCCCAGTTTAATTAAATAAATATTTGCTTATTACTAATTATATCGATGATTGTACCGACAAGAACACCTTTTGTAATTTCAATAATATTTGAATTTTCTTTCAAACTGCGCAATAGTCAGTTTATTATTATTGCTACAGTCTACATGTTAATTCTTTTTATTGTGTAGTTTTTGTCTGTTTATATTTATGATAGTAGGCGTAATGATTACTATGTTTACAAAATAATAAACATTTTAGCAACATTTTATAAGAATAACAACATTTTATTCTATCTCTCCTTAATACGAGAGTTTCGTGGTTATAGTGGTTTACTACTATAATTTCTCTCTTCTCTTCACAAATCTTGATTCAATTGTTCGATAATTAGGTGACACCAAAAATTTCGTGCGACTGTTTATAACTCTGAATGCATAAGTATTCCAGTGATGGAAATACCATATTAAACGAAATTAATTTATGAGATGGGGCTAGCTTCGCCTCTCCGCCACGTTGAATTCAACGTGCGCACGTCCAGTATCTTCATTCTCTATCAGGCGACTACTGACAATGCTTCAGACTACCTGATATGGGTTAGCAGGCGGGATGGCTTACTATTTATTTTTTTGTAATCTTACTTATGTCTTTATATCTTTCCTGAACTGTGTTATTGATAGATATAGGTACATTTGAAAATTATGAACTATATTTACTATGTTATTTTCTTGGAAAAGTACAGTCGAGTTAATAGTGATAGATATGAGTTAGTTAGTAATTAAAGTAGATTTTAACAGGCTTCAATTGATCTCTCGTTAAAATACATTTTATGAAGATATAATAATATAGAACCTGCTTGCCTGCTAATACTTGACTGCCCACGCATGGTTGCATGCTTAATGCGCCAGCGCACATATACCTACCCAGTCATTAGAAGTTTAAATAATTAATAACAACACATAGGTAGGTATTTAGCCTGCTTCATCGTCAGTCGAAACAAGTTACAGTTCTTTGAACGCAAAATATTTAATGCTTAAAATATCATGTGTGAATGAAGTAGAATTTGAACCAGTATCTTAAATGGCTTGAATAATATTTAAATTTGAACTTCAAACTAAGAAGAGCTAGTAATAAGAAATCTAAGTATCAATCTTTTGTCTTCGTATGGATATTTAAAGTGCACAGTTGAACAAGATGTTTCAATGAAATTATTTAATATTGATGTAGATGGGTATATGGGTAAAAGAAGGGTAAATACGGATGGATATATTGTGTGAAAGAGAATATGGCTAGACAGAAATGAGTGCTAGATTGTAAGTAAATAGAGACGTATAAAAGTGGAAAATATATTACGCTGATCTCAAATGTTCAATGTTATGGTTTTGCCATTCCAAGGTATGATTAATAATGATGAAGCCGAGGTAAAATAAACACACATATCTTATACAGATTTCGACTTCAACCCGGAAATATACTTTACGATGAGTCGCTAGGGTATATTCAATCTAATGCTTCATTATCTTTGATGACAATTATAAATAATGTAAAAGTAAAGATTGCTAAAATCTTTACTTTTTTGTTTTTTTAGTGGGTTGCGAGGTAAGTTCACAGTTAACCTTGGTGGACTACCTGCGAGATTTTCTGGAGCTACGTGGTACGAAGTACATGTGCCGCGAAGGTGGCTGCGGCTCTTGTATCGTGAGCGTTGTTAAAACTGCTGGTGCTCAACCAATATCAGTCAATTCGGTAAGATATATAATAAAAAGTATATATACTTTATACATATATTCCATATAAAGATTTTTTATGGAATAGCAAATGATAAGTGAGTAAGTAGTGAAGTAAGTAAATCTCATGTTTTGCCATTCCAATCTAAGATGTTATGCCTGCCTATCCTATAATGTTACTGCCACATTTCACGTTCCAACTGAACCATATCTTCTATTTCACCATCTATATAATAAAGCAAGCTGCTTGCCACTGAAATAGTAGAGATAGATCTCTGTCTGATGCACGCTAACGACTTTATATGAAGACTGCCTATGATATCATTATAAATAGGCTTCAAAAATTGTTGTATAAATTTCATTGAATCAAGTGTTAATAAGCGAAACTAGAATTCACTACTTAAGAATTAGAATAGTTTTGTTTAACTTCCGGTTATGTTATATGAGTATAAGAAAATAAACTTGGTTCTATCTCTTAATATAATCACGTGAAATCATGAGGTTTCATACGCCAATAAAATTACAAGTTCCGTTCCAGTTTGAATATTGAACGTGGCAGTAAAATTACGAGGTAGTGAAGCATAAGACTGCAGTCAGACATTACAAAGTAATATAGGTACTTATATTTTTAAACACTGTTAATGTCAGCAGGTAACCGTTACCAGTTTATCATGTAATGTATGTTTGTATTTGCCATTTCCTTCGCATTAACTGATTTATGATTAAATTTAATTTCTATATTAAAATTTGAGACAATGATTTTTTGTTATATCAATACTAGGTACATATGGTTATCTTGAATATTACGATGGAATTAAGTAGTTGTCATATTCACAGTGTTTGGTGTCAATCACTTCTTGTGAAGGATGGGAAATTACGACCGTAGAAAAAGTTGGCAACCGACTTTCCGGATATCATCCTGTCCAGAAAGCATTAGTTGAACACAATGGCACTCAATGCGGTTATTGTTCACCGGGTTGGGTCATGGCAATGTACAGGTGAGGAACACGATTTTGGAGATGTATTTACTCTGTGTAACCACCAGCAATATGGAGAAGTTCGTACATTGACCTTAAACTTACCTACAGTTGCAATTTAAAGATGCAAGTTTACAGAGGATTCATTTTTTCCTTTTAATTTTGTTTTCAATTCTTGACTCAATTTAGTTTTCAGTTATTAAGGTGATTATTTTATAAAAAATGAGCAATATGCAGTACAGCAGTTCAGAGCTTTCAAACAAGTTAGTTCTCCTAGTACATAAGGATTGATTATTATAATATACAATCAGTCTTTATATACTACTAACTAAGTACGTTCATCCTAGTGTAAGGACGTCGTGTCCATATTATTATGTACCTATTTTTCTTTCGATTTCAATAATAAAATGCTTCAAATATGAAATACTCGCAACCACTACAATAGCGCCTAAGTTAGTGGACACAGTTCAAGCATATAACGTTTTTAGTGAAATTATAAATTTATTGTGAATTTTGAAATAAAAATCCTTAATCTATAATCCACTCCGAGTTTACAAGAAGAAAATTTTCACAAAGTTAAACATGACATCTTTTCTATTAATATATTTTTAAATTGCTTTTTTGTGTGCAATAAAAGATAAAGTACCTATAAATAAAACGATACGCCTGTGTCACGAATTGCATTAGCAAGTCGAGTGTCATTTTTTAGTATGGCGGTTAACAGAGACAATAATATTTGAAAGGCCACATGAATACTGTATATACTTAGATATTTCACACAAAGTGACTGAATAATAATGTTTTGATTGCATCCGTTATTCTCTGTCTTCGAGGTATCCGGCGGTAGAAGCTTCGCTTGGGAATTCATTGACTTCATTAGTTATTGTTAATTACGATCTGCTGCTGAATTATAGCTGTATACATGCATTACAATAGGTTTATCGTTCAACTGAGAATCTTAAATTATCACAAAATTTAACAAATAACATTAAAATTATTTTCAGTCTTATTAACAACAAAAATGATCTAACTATGCTTGATATAGAGAAATCATTTGGAAGTAACATATGCAGATGTACTGGATACAGGCCTATACTAGAAGCTTTTAAGAAATTTGCTAAAGATGCTCCACAATTTGACAAGATACTTGATATAGAAGATTTGCATGTTTGTAGTAAAACTGGCAAAAACTGTGATAAACACGATTGTCAAGAAGAAGATTGGTGCATTGTTTCTAAATCTGATGTCGATGCACCAACTTCAATAAAAATACTTTTGAAAGACGGCAAATATTGGTTTAAGGTATCGACAATAAGAAACGTATTTGAAATTTTAGCTTTTACAGGAGACGACTCTTATATGTTAGTTTCAGGAAATACAGCGAAAGGTATTTATTTTACAAATTAAAGCATATATGTACGTTACAATATTTTATGTTGCAATAATTTCAATATTTTTAATTAAATTACGTATTTATTTATAAACATGACTTGTAAACCTTGATATTGCTAATAACATAGCATAATAATGTCCTAAAAGTAATATAGTCTATTTTTTTTGTAGTTTTTTTATCCGCATTATATCTGTGGTGATAAATTATTAGGTTTCGTAATAATAGTATGTAATGCCATTGCCAGGAGCGTACCCCATAGATGAATATCCTCGAATTCTCATTGACATAAGTGATGTGACGGAAATCAAGGGGTGTTTCTTAGACCAAAACTTGGTAATTGGAGCCGGTAATACTTTAACAGAACTTATAGATATCTTTAAAACTATGTCTAATGAAGTATATTTTGAATATCTAAAGAAATTTTATGATCATCTCCAGTTGGTTGCGCATATCGCTGTAAGAAATGTAAGTATATTTTTAGACATTTTACTCCATTATATTTATTGAGCAAATGCAAAATTTAAAATAATATAACACTCATGTAAAGAAATATTAGCATCTAGAGCTAGGCGTTCATGTGTATTTTACTTTTGGATATCTTACCGTAACGTATGTCACTTTGAAATAGTGAAAGGATACATATCTTTCAAGTAGTGAAAGGATTTCTCGAATCGGTGCAGTGGTGTTTTACTTTCCTCATAATAAATTCCACTCTCTCTTTCTCTCTTTATAACATTACTATGAATATGCAATATATTTTCAAATGATTATAACCTATAATCTTCATATTAGTGTGGGTAGATCTCATTTTATAGAAAAAGTAGCATAGTATTACCAAGTCAAAACAGATATAGGGTTATGAGGTATTTTGAGTTTTTTCTTTACTCTGATTAATTTACAATGCTTCAATTAACTGCTTTTTGATATCTCGACGATAAAAAGAAGTGGTAACCTCTTCAAAATCCTTATTACATCAATGCAATACATGTATTTGCATTAAAATGTGTAATATTTTCATTTTCAGCTGGGATCAATGGGAGGTAATCTAATGATAAAACATCAATATAATGAATTTCCGTCAGATGTTTTTCTTTTATTAGAAACTGTTGGGGCACAGTTAACTATAGGTTAGTATTACGTTTGTCAATTTTTATATACCAGCCTCGGACCATATGTAGAATCTTAGTTAATATCGATTGCAAATACTTTCATAAATTTATAGGTACTTACAGAATTATATTACCTTTGCGCATTTAATTGACATTTACGTAGGTAAATGTCATAAAATAGGTGAGAAATAGTTTGATACTAAAAATTGATTTGGAAACTCGGCGAAAATTTAACTGTAAAATATGTATTTACCACATGCAATTTAGTAATTATAGTTATATTAAATGGAATTTGCATAACATAAATATAATTAAAATTAACATAACATTATATTTTAGTTAATCAACGAGGCTTACAGCAAAGAGTTTCAATGTCGCAGTTCCTGAAATTAAACATGAGGTCCAAAATAATATTAAATGCTTTACTACCGCCCTTAGCTGAGGATACTAAAATTGTAACGTTCAAGGTAAATTGATATAATTTGTATATAGGTACATATATATGTATATGACTATGCATAATTATTTTTTTGTATAAAGTAAAGATGACGACTATTAAAATATTATTATAAAAGATAGACTATTGTATATAATAATATTATTACTTGTATCTTTACCTGTTACTTACTTAAAAGCGTTTGTTATTTGACCGCCATTACGGCGGCGCTCGCTATTAACCGGAAATCATGTCAGTTGTCATTTGAAAAGTAGTTAAACGTCTTTGTAAGCAGGTAGTTTGAGAGACACTACGCCCATTGCTATTGCTATAATTTTTTATTTTGTGTTTAGTATAATTTGATTTATATTAAGAACTTCACTTTATATTTTTACAAGCAAGCGATAGTTACTGCATGTCAACTACTTATTGCTATTGAAAGATTTTTGTACTGGAGTTGTATTTTTGCATTTTTTTAAGCAACTAAATTATTTCACTTGATATAAGAACTTTAATATGTTATGATGACTAGTATATAAATTATAGTAAGCTATATAATATAATTAAAATATTCCAGGTAATGCCTCGGGCACAGAATGCCCATGCTGTAGTGAATGCTGGATTTTTATACAGGTTAAGAATAAAAGACAATAAATTAGTGCAAACTAGATTGGTGTTTGGTGGATTATCATCAGAATTTAGTAGAGGATACTTAACTGAGAGGTATTTGTTTGGGAAAATGCCGTTTACAAATGATATACTCTTAAGAGCAGTGAAGACCCTAGAGAAAGAGATGGTGGTGACAGAAACGGGTCTATTGTCAGAATGGTCTGTGGCATATAGAAAGAAACTGGCTCTAGGCCTGTTTTATAAAGTAAGAACTTAATCTTATTAATATAAAAGTAATATGTAATTTATTTGCTGTTATCCACCACTATTTTAGAGATAAGAGATACATTTTTTGTCGGTGTAATATAGTATTCCCAAATGGTAACATACAGTTATTCGGTATATAATATTAGTATGGATGTGCCAAATTTAAAGTGTTAACCTTATGAAGATACAGTAAATTTTGTATGGAAAGATATGCGTAATATACACATACGTGTGTATGTTAAATGTACAGTAAGTATTCCATACGTACATTTTGTATGGAAGTATAATTGTACTTTTTATTTACTGATAATATATAAGCATATCTTATTTAATTACTGTCTTTTCTTTTGATCTTAGTAGCTATAGTCTACTGTATTTTTTAAATATATTTTATTAAAATTAAGTATATTTTCTTTACAGGGATTATTGGCCATATGTCCTCCCGAAATACTGGGTTCTCGTTATGTCTCTGGAGCAATAAAGATACATGAAACAAGACCAGTTTCTGACTCTCGACAAATATTTGATACAAATCCGGCTCTGTGGCCATTGAATCAACCGTTAGAAAAAGTTGAAGCCACGGTAACATATTACCTACTTTAATACGTGTAACTCATAATTAATATTTGTAATAATAAACATTGTTTCTTAGCATTTTATTGATATTTTAAATCCTTATCACCGTGGCTAAGAAATTTCTAAGTACATATTATTGATATTCGAACAATCTCAAAGACTATATAAATTTATTAAAAACAAAACTTGAACGTGTATATATTATGTGATAATATATATGTAATTTATTTATTTATCAATTTTTCTGAATACGTATAGCATATAATGTTTCAATGTTTTGTTGTTTTATTATAGATTCAGTGTTCAGGTGAGGCTCCTTATACAGAAGATTTACCTTGCTTTCCCAGAGAGGTATATGCCGCATTCGCACTATGTACCGTTGCTGCGGGGAATATAGAAAGCATCGATCCGAGTACAGCTCTGGTATTACGATATATAGATATTTCAAATACTTTTATAATATGTGACAAGTGACAAAGTCATAGATAATCACTTTCGAAAATAATATAGTGTTCGGTATATGAGTTAAGGGTATGAACAACTAGGCACATAAATATTTTATGAAATGGTCAAATTTCGAAGTCATACTTATATTCTCTACCGTCTACCATTACGATTGTTATTCTAGATATATATATCATAAAATATTTTCATTTACTTATTTCGTAGACAAATGCAAAATAGTATTCATAAAAGAAGGTTAAAAGTCGAATTTAGAAAAACAGTAATATTAATTTTATTGATCTTAGGAACAACCAGGCGTTTTGGCATTCTACACAGCAAAAGATATACCTGGTTTAAATTCATTTACTCCATCTGATGCTGTATTGTATTCAACAAACGAAGAAGTATTATGTGACAATGTAGTGAGGTATTTCAATCAGCCTTTTGGCATCGTTGTTGCTGAAACACGAGATATAGCTGATAGAGCTGCAAAAATGATTACAGTAAAGTACAACAATGTAACAAAACCAGTAATTAATATCAAGGACGCTAAGAATGATCCTAATAGACGGAAAGAGTACACAGCGAATAATTCTACAGATAAGGGCAATGATGTAGTGAAGGTAATAAAAGGAGAAAATACTTTTCATGAACAATATCACATGCCTATGGAGACCTTAGTATGTTTAACCCGTCCAACAGAGGAAGGATTAGAAGTACATGCAGCAACGCAGTGGACCGATGGTATACAGTTAATGATTTCGCGAGCATTGAATATAGAACAAAATAGGTATGCAACAATAATTAATTTAATCGTATAATAATTTATGCTTAAGCAATTTTCAATGTCAATGCAAACATTTTTATACTAGTACACTAATTTTATTTCCAGAATAGATGTTTATGTGCGGCGACTTGGAGGAGCTTACGGCTATAAAATATCTCGTACTACCCAATTAGCAGTTGCTTGTAGCCTAGTAACTCAAAAAATGAATAGGCCTTGTCGATTCATTCAATCATTAACAACTAATATGAGGGCGGTTGGAAAAAGATATAATGCAACAAGTGACTATGAAGTAGGTATTTTAAGAAAATTATTATCCAGAAGGTAATTACTATAGTATTGTATTAAAGTCAATGTAACATTAATCAATTTCTTTTTATTTCAGGCTGGGATTAATGCTTCAGGAATAATTCAATATTTAAACTATAATCTGTACGAAGGTAATGGATATACCATTAACGAACAACTATCGATGCTTAGTATTGGAGTTTACAATAATTGTTATAAGAAAACAAGATGGAATTTTAAGGGTTATGATGTCATCACTGATTTAGCCAAAAATACGTTTTGTAGATCTCCAGGTATTTATTTAAAATTTTATTATTTTTTAGTGGATTCTTATTAAACGGAATGTTAAATTATAACAATATTTTTAGGTACTTTTGAAGCTATTTCAATGGCAGAATGTATAATGGAACATATTTCCTACGAACAATCTCTGGATCCAATAGACTTACGCCTGGCCAATTTAGATGACGAACACAGCGCAATTAGAGAAATGGTTGAAACATTAAAGTCTAATTCAAATTATGCTGAAAGAAAGATATCAGTTTCTAAATACAATGTGGAGAACAGGTGGAAAAAACGTGGTATACGAGTTTCATTATCAAAATGGACACCGGCTGGAGGACAGCAGTTAGATGTAAATCTGTCAGTTTATCATGGCGATGGAACTGTTGCTATAACTCATGCCGGTGTAGAGATGGGTCAAGGAGTAAATACAAAAGCTGTTCAAATATGTGCATATCTTCTGAATATACCTGTTAGCAAAATTCAGATTAAAGGCAATAATACAATAATAGCACCGAATTGTTTTATATCGGGTGGCAGTTTTACATCTCTGAATGTTGGTCTTGGTGTACAAAGGTGTTGTGAGCAACTTTTACAGAGATTAGATCCCATAAAAAAAACGATGAATAATCCAACTTGGGAAGAATTAATAGTAAAAGCTTTTCAATCTAACATTGACTTGCAAACTCATGGATTTATAAGTTTTCTTGATACTGTAGATTATAATATTTATGGTGTAGCATGTGCTGAGGTAGAAGTGGATGTATTAACTGGAGAATTAGAAATATTAAGGGTGGATATAATACAAGACGCTGGTCGGAGTGTAAATCCTGAAGTAGATATGGGACAAGTAAGTATTGTTAAATGGTGCTAATAAATTAATTATTCTTAAATATATGACTTAGTAAGTTGACGTTTGAGTGAACATATTTATTTTTAAATTATTAGGAATATTATTTCCAGCAGTCCTACGGCTGTATTTTTCTAGTAACTAGATACAAATTTACAGATAGAAGGAGCATTTGTGATGGGTCTAGGATATTGGACAAGCGAAAATATAATGTTTTCCAATACAGGAGAGGTTCTTTCTGATCGAACGTGGAATTATTATGTACCTCAGGCAAGAGACATACCTCAAGATTTTAGAGTGTATTTTAGAAAAAAATCAATGGGCGCCGATCTTTTTTTGGGTGCTAAAGGTATTACTGTACTTGTTATTATGAAATATACGACCCTCATAGTTTAATTAAGTGATTATCTCTGTGTTACTCCCACTAGCAGTTTAAAAACAAATATAGATGAAGTAAATTTTCGTATTAGTGAATATTATGTATAAGAATATACATTTATTACATGTAATGGATATATGCTTTCAATACCAATTGAATTAGATTTTTGACAACTGTATTTATTTTATTTACTTCCTTGCAGCTATTGGGGAGCCTCCTCTTTGCCTTTCTGTGGTAATACCCTTTGCTATTAGAGAAGCTATTGTTTCTGCAAGATCAGATAGTGGACTTTCTAGCTCTACTTGGTTTCCTTTAGGTATGTAAAGAACAATTTTTAAATAAAATAAAATATTGTTATTTTATTAATATTACTATTCAAGTAATTTATTTATAATATTATTAGTATCATATATTTTATTGCATAATAATTGGAATATACAAGTCTACGTTACCCTATAGTTACATAAATATTATTATGGTAATAATAAATGACTAAATTGGTACAAAAATGAAACTTCAGGAAAGAAACAATGTACAAACTTAATATTTAAAACAATACAAGAAAAATTCAGAGAATAATCCAGAACATGCTCGAAACACAACGACAGAGCCCACCAGAAAGTCACGAGCCAACAACTTATTGAACAAACCGAGTATAGTCCGAATATATATCTATAGCATAGGTTATAAACACGAATATATACACACGATTACAAACAATAAAAAGAATAATACAAAGAGAATCTATTAATAATTTAATCTAATGTAATTTAATATTACCATTTTTTTTTCAGATGGACCATGTACAGTTGAAAGTAATTGTTTGTTAGCTGAAACTTCCCTCGAGCAATTTAAGTTCAATTAATGTGGTCGTTGTTTAATCAGTAATTACTAAAATTTTGCATTTTCTTGCTTATTACATACATATACTATTTATTCTATACATTTTATTTTAAAACAAACACATCAGCTTTATTAACATAATGTAATAAATGTAGCTACAATTCATATCAATTACAAAACACTTACGTATATAATGCGTACCATAACATAAAATTGATAAGTTGGAATAGATGTAGATTTATAGGAAAGCAAAATGCATACTTACTTTTTATAAAAATTTTTGTTTATTTTTGGAAACTATTCATATTTTTATTGAAATACGCAACCTTTTTATTTGATTATATTTGTTTGTTTGTGTTTAAATAATTTCTATTTTATGGACAATTAATAAATATTATTCATGTTGATAGTTTGTAAGTAATAGCTAACTTTTTAACTTTTCAGTGTAAACTCGTAACCAACTCTTCATCCATTATAAGCAGATTTTGTTTGTTGTATTGCATATCATTATGATTGAGACTGGAAATAGGTCTCGTTCTGTTGTTTGAATTCAAAAAATATTTTCATTTACAAGTTTGGCATTCTGAATACAATTTTAAACCTCTTTTAATTTTTTTTGTGTTCTTGTTTCTGTATGATATTTTTGTTGATATCATGCGTTTAATTATTTACTGTGTTTGGTAAATTATTGGTTACTTTATGATTCATTATTCTTTTTTTTCCTTTTTTTCGATCATATTTGTCGGTATTATTATGGAAAAAAACCGGCCACTTCAGATGTTTAATTGATCTGCATAATAAATCTTTACATTAGATTAACATAATAATAATGAAATTCTTTTTCATATAAAAAGTTTTTACGTAATAAACTTACTATGTCAGTAAAGTTATGGTGTGGTACCTGCCTCTATCTTATTCGAATATCTAGAACTGGATAGGGTTCTACATACACAACTGTATAGGTTTCAAAGATATAGCAATTAAATTTGACTAAGTACTGATAATACTTCAATCTTCAGAAGTGGAAAGGAATTAAATATTCTATGAGTACATAATTCTTTAATTCCCATTTGCTTTGTTACCCTTTGTTTTGCTATAGACTACGGTTGCTATTTAGTATATTAGTATAGGTAGTATTAAAAATAAACTGAGATTTACTAACAATTTTTTGACAGAATTGTTTAAATTATCTGTAGCTAATGACAATTTATTTCTGTAAAAGTCTTTAGATTGATTATTCTCATGTTCATTTCTATTGTTGTTCTTATCAACCAACACTTTTCCAAAGGGTATTGCATTATTTGATTTTGTATTCGGTATATCAATGAATTGATTTTTCAAAATGTCAGTTTCGTCCACACTTAAATATTCTTGAAATGTGTTATTAATTTCAACATTTTTCTCAGTGTTTGTGTATCTGCTTGTATCGTAATCATAATATACCCTACTAGTTAATCTGAAAAGTATTAGAATAAATACAATAGTAATAAATAAATATATTTTAATAAGCTAAATTATATTATTTTAATGCAACACTGTAACTAGACTGTCTTTAGTATCTTGTTGCTTGTGGCGTTTTAGTTTACATTTTTGTGCTCGATTTTTCGCTGAATTGATAAATATTTAATGAGGTAAATAATACAGGCAGTATTGAGCATTATTTGTATTACGTAATATTTTTTTAATACTACGTGCTAAGTATATAAAATATATAAATATATATATAAAATTAATATAAAATATGTAAAAATTCTTAATATTGACTTTAATATACAATATTATATAAGAAAATAGACAAACAATATAGTAGTTTAATAGTTATAAATACACATAGGAATAGTCAAGTTATTCAAATGTTCAATAAATTTAGGACATCAGTTACTAGAAACTGTAACAAGAGATAATTTAATATACATATAAACTTCAATGCATTCGAAAATTTCAAGGCCTATTTACATCGTACCTACTCTTATTCCATGTATACAATTTATCATTACGTTTGAAGTTAGCATTATAGTTAGTTAGAAATATCAATGATATGTAGAAATGGTAATCATAGTCGCTCTCAAAAAACACTACCATGTACCTATCAGAAATCAAAATATTAAAATATTTTTTCCGAACTTCAAATTATAAATGCCTGTCAATCTGTCATATTTTACAATTTCACAAGAAATTGAATTTGATAAAAATATAGAATAGATCTGATTATACGACATACTGACATAACGACGACTGAGGTTACCTTAAATATATAATCTGGAAGGAGTGAAATAGTTTGAAAGTATATGCAAACCTGTCTTTAATTCCCCAATTGAATGAGACATTATCGTCGATATCATAATAATCAGGTTTTTGTATAAAACTGGCTACGTCAATTTGTGTTATTTCATTATTACCACCATGACTTTGTTTGCTTTGCCTTTTATTTTTATTTAGAACAGAGGTTCGTTGGTTAATACGTATACGTTGACTTCTAGGTAAGTTGCGTTTATGACTCACGGAATTATCAGATAAATGGTTATTACAAAAACATATTTCTAGACAAAGTAACAAACACAATAATAATAAATATAAAAATAACGCAACATTACTATGTGACATTTCTAAAAATGACATTAACGTGTTGAATTTGAATTTCATGGTTACGCATGCTAGACCTATGGTTGAATTTATTGATATCATACAGAATCTTCTCAGAATAAAAACTTCTTGTTTGGAATGTAGTATTCTGAATAATAATAGTTCTTGGCGACTATAACTAATATTTCGTAAATGCGTTTCTCTGTAACAGCTTTTCTGCTGTTACAGAGAAACGCATTTACATTACGCAGAATACTACATTCCAAACAAGAAGTTTTTATTCTGAGAATTTGAAATAATGAATCTACTTCTAGCTATTTAGGTATGTATATTGTAAACATACCTATATACACGTGGTAGATAAAAGATTTGTACAGAAGAGATATATTTACAAAAATATTCAGGAAAAGAAATCGGTTCTGAATTACAATCTTTTTTATTTTCCAACTCTGTATCGTAACTAGGCAATGATATTGCTCGTATATACAATATATTACCGATGTAAGTAAAATAGCCAGAAGATAATTATTTTGTTCGTCACACATTCATTTCAGTAGTCATAAAAAGTACAAATAAATTGCGTTCTTCCATTTTAGAACGCAGTTAAAAGCAAATCCATGATGAGTGGCTTGTGTGTACAGAATAAAGTACAGAGTATTAAGTGAAATTGCGTCTGTTCCATAACCATATGATCTTCTTTTGGAAAGACTCTTTCGTCTTAATATTAAACCCATGTGGAAGAGGCTTTTCCCATTAATTAGCAATCAAGTGGACCTATTTACAGTTTATAAGTAAGGGGTAAGTCATAAAAAGCTCTTTAAACCATCACCTGAAAGGGTAGAACTATTTTTGGACGTGGCATCTTTATTCAACCGTGTAGAAATAGGCTTTAGTTGAGTACCGCCCTAAGTCGCCCTAATTTATGTTAGCCGTTTGTTGAGTTTCTCCCAGATGTTCCATGAGAAGGGAAGGGTTGGCCGTACTTGCGAGGGTGGTTTAGATTCCGCAGATAGGCATGGTAAATAGCAGTAATAACCTAGTCTCGGCACGCACATGACATGAAAGTTTACTGGGAGGGATTTACGCAAACCCAGGTGGCTACAATACCCGTTATTGCCAAACTACTATACTTACTTCGACAATTTGAATATGTAATTTAAATTGTACATTATTGTTTGTATTGCGGAAACTACTGAAATTCTGCTGAGATTGTTTGTTTTTTACAGTTTCTCTATAGGTACGAGTATAAACTGTTTCGATAGGAAATCTAAATATAATGAAGTGTATAGGAATAGTGTACCTTAGGTATAGAAATATTTCTAAAATCACACTTGGTGGCGGAACCACACTTAGAAATTATTGAAGATTGTATATACACCTGATAATTTTAATTTGACTACCGTTCCTTAATGGAATACTTATTTACAATTAGTAAATAAGTATTCCAATAAGGAACGGTCTTCGATTTGTAACCATTGATATCTGAACATAGTTTTAAGCTTATTGATCAGTCTCCAATTGCCACTCAAGAATTCCATCCTTCCAGTTCCTACTAATTTTCGGTTCTCATAGCTACATGATCGGCTTGTTGCCACTTCAGTTTGCAGACCCATAGAAGCCAATGATATCAGATGGTTTGATTTCTTTGCTGGTATTGTACATATTTCGGATTCTATGTATTATATTTAAAAAAATATGTTTAGTACAGAAGTACCTAATGAATTTGTGAAAGTTTTTATCTGTAAGATATACATATTTATGAATGATGCAATATTAAATCTTTTTGTAAAAACGTGCATATTAAATAGTCAGTGCTGTACATTTATGGAAAATGTAATACAGACCATCTAATATCCTTGAATAGCAAAAAACCATATGACATAAAATCCAAGGATTAGCGAGTACAGAAAGATACCCTTAGAAAAATACAACGGTCATTATCTAAAGACTTTCCTCTTACCAGGATTATCATTAGGGATTTGACCAAACCCTTGTTAATGCCTTCTTTCGGCAAAATAATTAGGCACCCCTGTTATTTTTCTACATTATAGTTTCATAAACAAAATGCTTATTTCTGAAAGTGTAGCCGGTAATCGAAGCCTGGAATTGTCGATTTTATTTGGCAATAATTTCATATTGCACGATTTAATCAAAAATCATCGTTCGCGTGAATATTTCTATTTCGCTTATTTCTGCACCTTGTTTTTAAATTTCGGAAACTGAGTGATTTTTTGGGCCTCTGTGATTTAGCGGTTTATCAGCCTGACTGACATCCGATGGAAGCGGGTTCGATTCTTCGCACGGTACAAATATTTGCATTCATGAGTATGATTCTTTGTATTAGTAAGTATATATATATATAAATAAAAAAAACTATAGTACTATTTTGTATGTTGTATACATTGCAGAAACTCTGCTTAGCTTGGGACTAGATGGAGCTGTGCGAATTGTCCAGGATTATTATTATTATTGTTATAAATTATAGAATTTATTACAATTATAATAAACAACCTTAATTCTTCTAAATGGCAAATCATGAAGGATATCGCATAACGACGTCATGTTTGTTGTTCATGTGTATAAGCGATGGTTACCATTTACCACCAGGTGGTGTCAGATTGTTTACCATTTTACAATAGATAAAAAATATGCATATGTACACTTTTTAAGTGTTTAAAATCAAATTCAGCAGTGGAGGAAATATATTCGCAAGTATATGGTGAAATCTATTCATTAGTAGACCTTCTACACGAAGTACTACGATAAATAAGTTATCACGGTATATGTATCTATAGTTGTAAAAATTGTGTATTTAACGGACCTTGGATGGTTAATATGTAAATCCTGTAGGTGCAGCTACAGTAAAGTTCCAGGAATATATTTTCATTTTTCAATTATATTAACCAAATGAAAACTCAACGTTCGGGTGAAATATTCTTGTCGGGTCTGTTCATTTATTATTGTAATTATATAAAAGCCTGGGAATCAGTTAGGCAGAAATATAAATTGTAATAACAATTTTAAAAAATATCCAAGAGACCAGACTAGACTCACTCTTTGCCAAGTGACAATTGAATATATCTAGCGAAATGTGAGCATATCTTTCGGTGCGAAAATAATATATTAAAAACTAAATATTATGTAATAATCCAGAGGTCAGTTGAATCGTAGTCGCATATGGTTAGTAAAACGCATTCGGAACGATATTAGCACTCATATATAGAGTCCGCATGTCGCATCCACCGCTGTATCTTATTGGATATTACCGCTTTAGCCTCCATTTGTGTAAGCTTATAACTAATATACCAATTTCTGGTTTATATGTAATGATATTTCTTTAATGAACAATTTAGGATACAATCAAAATCTGTTTTTTTAATGCATTTGTAATGGCATGTAAGCTGACGGCATATCTCATGCTAAATGTAACCATCGTCTATTTAAAAGATTATAGTAAATATATCAGATTATCCGCTCCAGAGGCACTGAACATCATTGCACTGCTGCGGATCCAGTGCTTTTGGACTTGTACATAGACATAGATATATGAATTAAAATTACAATACATATTATTGTAATTTACTAACATGGTTTATAAGTTGTTTACTAACATAATATGGATGGATATTCGAAATATATAAAATAAATTTACATTATCAGTACTGCAGTCATCACGTTATCATGGTACCGTGGTACCACATAATGTTCTGCCATTCTGGAGGACTAAGAGGTCATGCCTGCGAGGTTGCTATGGCCTTGGGTTGAAGGTGGTTTGTATCTATTAATTTACCCATACAATATTCTAACGTTTTATCTAAAATGCTACGTAAACCTGAAGTAACTTAAGTAAGATTGATTGATGGTAATAGAATGAAAATGAATGCAGTTTTCAAGCTAATTGCGAATGTGGGCTACTAATATATTCATGTCCTAAGTTAACAGCCAGATAGCTTAATTTGAATAGATTATGTCCTCTTTAATTAAATAGCACTCAAGCGCCAGTCGTATAATTATATGTACATACATTATAATATCTATAGCTGTAAATAAATGTAGATTTCTATGTACCATGGGTCGTATTCAAAATAAAATATTCATTACGTTATTTTATATTACTAACTCTATCCCACGGAATTAAACCGTAACATACTCATCATAGGCCATATTACTCATACATAATGTAGTCTTCATATATGATAGAAGTTTGAAATCAGTCAAGTAAGTATATTTTGGGATTTTATCCGTGTACGTATTCAATAAAATGAATTTCCACACGAATATACATACTACTAAGAGTTATTGTATCTAAAAAATATAATCAGCTTAAAAAACCAACAAGAACTACTCACCGTGATAACAAAATGACAATGTTTTTGACCCACTCGGACTTACAAGTAATGAAAGATGCGGGAAGAATCTTGTTACGGTACCTGACTACTCTTGGATTGCTCAGTCACGTGTTATCATTCGTAGATATTATCATGCACTGTCGGGACTGTTAGTGACAGAGATCCATAAGTATTCCGACAGTTTGACATGTACCCAAATCATTCAAAAATATCAAGAAAAAATGCGAGTAGTAAATAAAATGTTATATTGGAAAAATATCTTTCACATATCTCGTACCATACCCGTTCACTTGTTTTGACTCATTATTAATGAAAAAGCCCATTTCTATTTTGAGATAAATCTATCACAGCAAATGTCCGGTCAAGCATCAGACAACTACTTATTAAGCTTGAAAAGGGTAAGGAGAAATAAACTAAATTGATTGCGTTCTACAGTAAAAAGATAGTGATAGTGATTTGTGATATATTTCTTTTACTAGAGACACAATATTTTATTGCATCTGAAAATAATATGTGATAGTAGTATTTTCATATTAAAAACAGGTACCGTATTTGTTCATTGCTACGTCGACAGTGGATAATGCTTCTTACAACCCCGTCTAAGATAA